AAAAAGTTATGGACCGATTTTGCAGAAATTTTCAGGAACTGTCGGAAGTGGGCCAAAGAGGACAATGATTAATTTTTGGTGGTGGTCCGGATCAATAATCAATCAATTATCAATAATAATCAACAATTGCTGCCTTGGCAGAGGTCTGCACTCTCAAAGTGCTTTTCTAGTTTTGTTGTTTTCCTTTATAATTTTTTCTCAAACACTTGCATTTGTGACTTTTAACTCTCATCTGCCTGGGGCTCTGCACATTTTCTGTATTTCTACATAAGCAGTTGTATTGTTTTTTATGTCTTTAAACATTATGTAATATTATTTTATGCACTGTCATCATTTTTCAAATATTGAGACTTTCATAATGTGAATTTGAACTCTCATGGTCCTGAAACTGTAATCTTATTGAAGGGGTGGATTGAGACCATCTTCTGGGTCTTCCGGAAGACAGTCAGGTTATTAAGTTTATATTGACTGGTATCTATTTTTTTCTGTTGGAAGACATAGATACTTTGTAATACTGTCAGAAAATATCTCTGGGTCTGCTCCTGTTATTGACCATGTTACCTGTTGTGCAAGATTAAAATTCAGTGTTGACTGACAGTGCTATTATAAGCATTATTTATTATTGCATGAAAATTGACAAAATGACCTTTTTTGCATCTTTATTTTCTGTTTTTTGTCTGTACATTTGACAGCTTTGCTGCCTTGTTTTTTTTGGCAGTTAAACAGTTTTTTGTGAAAATTTAATTTTTCACATATTGGCATTTACAAGGTGTGACTTTAAAGTTCCATGATCCTGAAGACTTTTGCTTGTCACATTTTCTGAATGTCCATGTTACTAATATTTTATTAATAACATTTGATTGTCATCATGCTGTTCAACATTATGTAATGTTGCATCAAAATTTGAAGAAACACCTATTTTGGGCACTGCTCCTATGATGACCATTTAAGGGAAATCATGTCACTTACTGTTCTCAAACTTACAGGAAAGAAACATGGGTCTAACATACAGCTTCAATAGGCAATGCAGTCTGTTTGGTAAATTTTTCTGGCAATTTAACAGTTTTTTGTGAAAATTTATTTTCTGTTTTTTTGTCTGTACATTTGACAGCTTTGCTGCCTTGTTAGTTGTTAAATGTTTATCAATCAAAGTTCAAAATCTGTTACTTTTGAATACTGGGGTTAATATAATATAGAATTTATAGCATCACTGTGTATGAAGTATTTTGTTCTGTTTATTTTAATGTTGTATTCAACTATTGTATTATGTTTTTTTTCTATTGCAGTGACTCAGACTTTTGTAATATCTGTAGCCACAAATTTTCTGGCAGCAAACTGGGTCACATGCGAAGTGCAGAGCACAAGGTAATCCAAGTGGTTTTACTTGATATATATATATATATATATATATATATATATATATATATATATATATATATACCAGGCATGTATCAATTGAATGATCATACCAGAATAAGTTTCAATATTTTTTCTGTGGAATGTTTTTAAACGATAAGCTGTTTTTGTCCACATGAAACGTTTCACTGGTGGGGGCTGGTCCATATTTTGACCATTTATGGTTGTTAGATGGAGGCTGTGTTACATGATGTGGATGTTTTGTTTCAGAGGAAGTCCCGTCTCACCAACAAGGGCTGTATCCTGTGCAAAGTGGAATCCTTTGATACGTACCCAGAATATGTGAAACATTTAGACTCGGGTGGCCACAAGAAGGTATTGAATCTCTCCTCAATTTGTATAATTTCAGATGAACAAATATCGGCAAAGAGCACACTGTGTGGCTTGCGATAGGAGGTTCAAATCGCCTAAGAGTTTTGTCCGTCATTGTAGTTCTATTGAACATCAGCAGGTGTGTCTCTGTAAAGTTTTTAATTGTTGTGGCCAAACACTTTAAGTATTGCGTTGACGCTGACTCTCAATTAATTTGGGCCAGAGAAGAATGGCATTGTGACGTTGTAAAATGATATCAAGTTATATATTTTCAAGATGGGTATAAAAGGCAATTTTAGCAGGGATGCTTGTTTACATACAATAAGTGGATATTTTTTATTTTTGCAGAAAAAGGCAGATCTTCAGAAAGAACTGGCAGCCAAAAAAGAGAAGGAGAAAGAAGATGGTAATGATGATGGGGGCTTTTTAACAGTTGATGCCACTGGAATCTTTGCTGATGTGAGTTAGGTTGGCGAACATGATAATGTTATTGAGCACTTCTTTGTGATAGTTTGTAAAATTGAAAGTTAGGTGGGAATCTTCTAGCTTCGAAAATGGTGCATTTTAGGGTTTCAGCATACTTAACCCCATAGGATCCGGTTAATGCTGACCCATAAAGTTCTGCTGTGCCCAATTAATTTTGTGAGCTAGCCTTGAAAAGCCGGGTCACCTCAGTAAATTGGCCATAATTTATTTGTTTGCCTTTATTACCCATACAAAGTATACATTTTTAAAAAGCCAATATTTCAATCTAAATGAAAATATAACTACATTTAAATTCAACATGCAGTATCAAGAGTTATGACCGGTTAAAAACAACACTTTCATTTGGTAATGGGCGAAATAAAACAAAGTTGATTTATCTTATGCACAATAATTTTTTATTTCTTCATACATTTGCCTGAAAATTCACAGAGATGATGCCAATTATAGTAACTTTCAATCCAGAAAATTTCAGCAAGTTACCTCCATTAATTTCCAAGTTATGCTCGTTTTGCTATCAGGTATACTTGAGCCAGCTTTTCAGCTCACCTGAACATCGTGGCTGAATAGAAGTCAAATTTTAACACCATCTATGACAAAAACATCTACAAAACTTATATCATAAATAAATGAATATCATCGCCACTGTCTATATCACTGTCACTCGAAAACACCTTGTCAGTGTCAGAGTTTCTAATCATTTCAATAACAGTATCCATTCGCAGGCCCGTTCCGTAGTGAGAAGTCGCCATTTTGATTTTACTTTCTCCAGCTAAGTCTAGAAAACCGCCGATTTCTCGCTCATTAATATTTCTATCGTCCTTTATATCATAAATAAATGAATATCATCGTCACTGTCTATGTCACTGTCACACGAAAACTTCTCATCAAAGTCCGGGTTTTCAATCATTTCAATAACAGTATCCCTTCGCAGGTCCCTACCGTAGCGAGGAGCCGCCATCTTGAGTTTACTTTCTCCAACTAAGTCTTGAAAATCACCGTTTTCTTGCTCAAATATATTTCTATCGCCTTTAAAAATGGTGGCAATGAGAGACAAGAAACATACCTGGATGTGAAACTATATATCATTTCATGACTCACGATACAAAATAGTACAGAAGCCGATCTTTCCAAGATACGCACATATGCGGTTCTGGGCTTTTGGGGTAAGCGATAATTGAACCGCACATATGCGGTGACGGGCTCTATGGGGTTAAAACATTTATGAAAAATTCTGTTATTCATGATAATTTTTTTTCCTATGTCAAGTTTTTTCATTTAAAAAGAAATTTTTATGTAGGCAAAAGAAGAAGCAGATGGTGCTAAAAGTCCTGAGGTCCCTGAAACCAAACCTGTAGATCCCAAACCTATAAAAACAGACAAGGTATACTTCTTGTGATTTTCAGTATGGGTTACTTTCTTAGATGTGATTGTGGTTGCATGTAAATGTTTAAAGCAGGTCTTACTGATTTAGAGGGTTACAAAGCAAAGAAATGATTTTCCCTGAAACTTTGCCTATTTTTTCATAAATTCCACCTCAGGGCATGCCTAAAATAAATCAGTTTAGAAAATACATTTCGAGATCAATTTAAGTTTTAAAAAAAACAGCTTTTTTAAATATCTTGCCATACTTGTGCTACAAATAGTATTCATCCTGCAATCTCTGATTGGCTAGACAACTGCTCGGGACATCCTTATTTTGGATATGAAAGATACTTATTGGGGGCTTGTTTTTGTATTAATTGTGTTTTAAATCATATTTTCCATTCATAGCACCATGTAACATATTCTTGCACATTTTGGTAAGACCTGCTTTAAATGAAATGGTTGTTTTGTTAATTTCTTTATTTCTGTGGAAAATTGGTCATTTTCAGTGACAATTGGGACCCATTTCACAAAATAGCTTCAGCCTGAAATCAGGACTTTTCTTTTGGATTAAAATTTGCTCCCTCTTTTTTACACGATGGATCAGTAATAGTCCTATAAAATACTGCACTTGTTTTATAACAGAAAAAATATGGGTATATAAACACATACACAGTGTGTTTATCTTTACCTGAAGTAAACCGAATGTTTGGACTGAAATTTTATGTGAAATAAGACGGGAATGGAGGTGGAGTTTGTATGAAATTGAATCTTGTTGAAGTGATGGATGCTATTGCTACTCTGCTTTTTCCTGGCTTGTATAGATGATACTAGCCCCCACCAGTGAAATGTTTCTGTTATAGTTCATTGAAAATGACTTTTTTCCTTCAACTGACATTTTTTTTTACATAAATCTCAACTGTTGCTGTGATTTGATTACATCACTTTCTATGGGCTTACACTAGAATCTTATTTATTCTTACTGTATAAGTGAAAAAATTGTCAGTTCCTGTGAATTTTTCAAAATTCCTTTTATACAAACACATGTTACACAATATGCTATGTTACACAATATGCTATGTTACACATTGACAACAAATAGGAATAAATAGACATGCTAGGGTGAGCCCACAAGTACTTTATTTTGGGAAACAATTGCAGTGATTTTAATACTTCACCATAGCTAGTGGTTGGTGTGTCTAATAAGATGTCCTGGATTTCAGTTGGCTAAAGTAGACTCACCTAAGCAGGAAGTAGATCAAACACCTGGCGTAGAAGCTGCTGAGGAGGTAATGGGTCCGTTTCTATGCTTTCTGTGTGTGTGTTGTGTGTAGTGGTGTGTCTCCTGGGTGAAAGAATTAAATAATCACCGAATTGATAGATAGGGATGTCCTAGAAAGATATTTTGCTGACCATCATAACATGGACCTGTCAATTTATTCCAAACTATTTGCTTGTGAATGAAAATAATTAAATATCTTTGTTGTGGAAATGTGTTGGGTAGTAAATAATAAATTGAGAATTTTGTTTATAAGTGTTGATCTAAAGGTACATCAATCTTAAAGGGATAATAACTCTTCGTTTCGGCCAAAAAATGAATTTTCCTGGAGTAAACAACAATTTTCCCATGCTTACCAATGGTTAATGAATCCATTTTTACATTCAAAGTTAGTCCCTCGTTTTTTTCTAAAAAGTTTGGTTTTTTGTAAGCCATCAGTGGAGGTCACATGGTCTAAAGACAAGCTCAGATATCAGAATAATAGCTATAACTGCCGTTTTTATGGTAAAATAGAATATGTTATATTTAGTTATATAATCACAATTCATTGTTATTCACAATGTTTTTATTGTGAAATATAGATCTCATACGAAGAGTTATTATCCCTTTAAGGTAAAGTTCCATGTCTAACCAAAGTATTCATTTTGCTGATGGACAAAAACTCTGTCCAGAGCTTCACCTGGGCAAATTAAAACATTCTTGGGATACACTTTTTTTCTGTCACAGGAATGCATGCATACATGCACAGGTACATTTAAACATGCATGTCATCAGTGTAATAACTCTTGTTTAATTTTTATGATGTGTGACCCATTTCAGACCCCAGTGACAGAAGCCACTGTATTGAGTTCTCCGTTGGGAGAGGTAGAGATTCCAGCTTATGATCCAGAAGTACCTTTTGGTAGGTATTACACCACTAAACAAGAGAGTTTATTTTCAATTTTTTGGCTCTGTTTCACAGCTTTTTTGTTCAGTCTTGTAGGTACATATTTTTCACCATTTTGAATTTTTTATAAGAAAAATGGTTAAATGTTGGGAATTTGGTTAATAATGTTTGTTATTTTTTAAACTCAAACTTAACATTTTGTTGCTCTGAAAAAATAGTGTTCATACTCAAAGATGTCTGATGAAAAAAAAAAGTTAATGCAAAATATTTCTTTTTCCAAAAGGTTTGTTTTTTTTTTATCATAAAAGGGTGAGCAGTATCTGTGTTTTTACCACTATTTATCATACGCAAATTTATTATTATTATTATCATTGTATATTGATTTTATTTATTATCTTTTGGGAAGAGGATGTTTTTTAATTTAAACTTAATTCAATATTTTGAATATTGGCATAAAGACGTTGTAAAATGGTATATGGTCTTTTCTTGTAGGCCAAGAGTATGTTATTCCTGTCTCTGGGTTCTTCTGCAAACTGTGCCATAAGTTCTACAATAATGAAGCTATTGCCAAGTGGAACCACTGCCAGTCCAAACAACACTATGAAAAGTTTCATGTAAGTTTCTGGGCTTCTTTGAGGGCCAATCAGGCAGTCCATTAAGTTTTTTCCACTCTACCAAGCACATTTAAAATATATATATATTCGGATTGGAAATACAAAGTCTGTTATGCCACAGCAGTGTGCAAGACAAAAATACTTAAGCTTGATGTATTTGGCATGCGCACAAATGTGAGTTGCACCTTGATCATTCTGGGTCCTTTGTCTTTTGATATCTCGATAGTGTGAGCCTGATACACAACGTCATTGTGATGTATGTTACATTTTTTGTGCCTTGCACAAATTATTGCTGTTTTTTGTACATATTTATGATTTGATTAGCCTGGAATTTGTGTGTCATTCAAAAAGAAAAAAAATTTAATTGACAAAAAAAAAAAAATTCAGTTAATTCAGTTGCAGCTATCTGTATTTCTCTTGAATTGATGCAGGGAAGATTTCCAATAATTCGTGAATTTATATTTTTCAAGAAAAGATAACTTTTTCAGTATTTTCATGTGCAGGCGTATATTTTGACACAGTTTTTCATTTCTCTAACTCAATTATTTGATTTCTGCAGAAGTCCATGCGGGATAAGTTAGCCAAAAAAGGGGTCAAGGTCAAGAGCGTCACTCCCTCCAAGGTCACAGAGGCCACATCATTGCAAGACACAGCATCCCAGCAGCAGCCAAGGAAGCACCTGCACGGCTCACAGGGACAGGATGACACCAACAGCAAGTCCAACAACAGTGAGATGTCGCTTCAAATCCTCAACGTCTCCTCCGTCACCAAAGAATTCCACGAGCACAACGACGATAACTGCCTGGATTCAACTGCTGACAGTGACACTCAGGAGGAAGATGGCCATGCGGACAGCGTGGAGGCAGAAGGTCAGGCAGAAGGTCAAGGTCAGACAGAGAGTCCAAGGCCGGATGACCAAAAGTCTGAGGGAGATGAGGCTGTGGCTTCTCTCCACGAAGAAGTGGATGAGGTAGTAGTGGAGAGCCCTACCAAGCGGGGCCGTGGACGAGGGACCAACAGAGGGAAACGTGGTGGTCGAAAAGGGAAAAAGTAGTACAATTTTATACTGGGCTTGCCTTGGCAAATACAGATGACCGATTATCTTTTTCTCAGAACACCTTTCGAAAAAGATAAGATTTCATTGGATTGTAAGTTTTTTCACTACATTTTTTACATTAAGTATATTGTGGACATTTGAAGCATAGTGACAAGAAATGGACCCATGTGAAAAAAGTGGAAAAGAAATTTACTCCATGTATGATGCCATTAACATTGTGGTTGTGTTTCCTGTTGTATGAAATACAGATGACTAGATCAGTTACCTAGGGCACCAGGTCTATAGCTTGGACATTGGCTAGATTTAGTTCAGCGTGTGGCTTTATCATTTCGTTCCTACATATTTGAGCTGATAGATTAAAAGATTCATTGTATGTTCAAAGAAATAAAGAGGTTATTTAAATAACATCTTGTTATTTTATTGTTATCACCAAAATTGTTAATGAGATATAGTTGACAACTTTTGTCGCAAAAGAGCCGATCACATTAACAACGTTTGATATTTTTACTGGGTGAATGGTGCCTTTTTAGGTAGGTGGGGATCTAGTGCTTCAAATTTTTATTAAGCTTTGTTCTTACTTCATGATTGTAAGCTCCAAAAAGAGCAGCTCTACGGCAAATGATCTGTGAGATGCTCTTTTTGGACCTGCCATTTTACAATGCTCGGTAAATAGAACAAAGGGAGAATTGTATTTTGTCATGTGGTGATGGCGACGTCGTTACACCAGTATGCAATAACATTTGAAAGGTGAATAAGCTAAGCCCTCCCTTCCGGGTGTGGTCTGTACTAGACTACCCTCGGGCAAGCCTTGTCACTAAAAGAATCCTTGATGAGTCTAAATTCCAAGACAAGCGCCACGGTGTGGTCAAAAATACACATCGGCTGTTTCACAATCAGGGGTACAAAATGGGGGTCACATTGAGAGAAAAATGAACTCTGATGCATTTGTTTAATTTTGTACAGATAAAAAAATAACATCTAACATTTTTAGAACACAATATTAATTATTTTTTGTGTTACGTTCAAATTAACCGAACGCCTCTTAGGCTATGATTTTGGGATACGGACACTACACATTCAAGTAACTGATGCTTTTGTAACTGAAATATCATATTGTTTACCAATTATTTTTGCCAACATACTAAAAATACCTAAATAAAGATATAACAACAGTACTTTAACCCAAAAAAAGGGGGGGGGGGGACCGGACATACGGACACTACAAAAATTAGGAGACACCAAGGGGCTCGTGATTATAAATACCATAGCATTTATTAATAATTGTTACATATGCACAACTCCTTTATTGTGTTTAATTCATAACATGGTAAATTCATCTTATCATCACGTAGGTGATTTCAAAGTAATATTTGGCCTTATCAAATATGTTTAAATATGTTCAAAAATAAGTAAAATGTGTACAAAAGCCCGTTTCAGCAAAATGGTTAAAATAATTTTTTTTCTCAGAACATTTCTTTGGAAGAATCTGCTAGAAGAGAAGACATATGTTGTGGGAATTATATACCGATATCATATATACCACAAATCATTGACATAAAGAGCTGGCGCATCATATTTATGACCTTAATCGTAAATGACCCAGCTAAAAATAGGTACTTTTTGAACACATAATTGGCTATATTATTGTAAATTGTAGTCCGATTATTATAATTCTTTTTTATTATTTTGCTCCTATGAACAGTGTCTTTGATATCAGTCTATCAGCAATCTCTAATCATAAATTGCTAATTTATCAGACACTTGTAACATTAACCACATTTAATTGTTCACCCTGATTGTGAAACAGCCGACATGTATAGATAGAAGAGGCAAAAGCTTTTTAACGCTTATTTAAAACTCAGAAACTAGTAATCTGGTAAAATTGATATTTTCATTGATTATTTCTTTTAAAGAAATGCCCTGTAAAAGTTCCACGATTATCAGTCCAACTTTTTTCTAATAGAAACGCAGGTGTAACCAACCTCAAAACATTCCACGTATCAGCAAAAATTAGGCGCAAAATTAAAAGACAAATTTAAATGCCGAATAATCGATATAGTAATAGCAGATCAGGCGAAGTCTCCTTTTCACGTTTTTCTCCCGAACTACAACGATCTGTTGACAACTGACAGGTGTTAGCAATACCTTAGGAAGGTAGTGGTCGTAGTTTGAATTTGATTATAACTGGTGTAAGTATATTTTGAAGGCATTTTCTGGCCTTCAGCAATTTCCGTAAAGCATGTGTGACAAGAATCATATACATGTATTGTTAATAACACTACATTAGACAGCAGGATTTGCTGAACTAGTGGTAACGTCCTTGTTTCCCAAATACGGCGATGTGGGTTTGCTTTTCACCCAGTCCCGTTTTTTTCTTTTCATTTTTTTTTTTTTTTTTTTTTTTTTGAAATTATTATTATATACTTATCTCTTATGGTTCAATGATTGATGTACCAGCTAGTATGTGTATTTGGTATCAGCTAGTACTCCCATTTAACGAATAAAAGAATTAAGTTAACAGGGTGGCTACTTAAACCTTTTAGAAATATTGTAAAGGAACTAGAAACTTATCCTAAACAAAATTTCAGGCTTCTTGCAAAGTTGTCGCAAATTTGAAAGAAGAAATTTACAATGCAAATGAGTTACAGCTTTCAATTTGAAAGGGTTTGAAGGTTTCTTGCAAACTTTCTGCAAACTTCAGGTGCTCTTGCAAATTTGCAGCAACGATTTTTTTCTTTCAAGAACCTGCCAGCAGTTTCTTGCAAACCTCTTAGATTGCAGTAAAATTTGCCGTTTACTGTTCTTTTTGCTAAGGTAAGTCGTCCTTTAGGCTACTGCCGTCTATAGTATTTTTTAAATTGTGATTCTGTTGTAACGCAAAGACTGCTACGTATATATTGAATATTGTTTCATCAAAGCCCCCCCAAAAATTACAGATGAAGATTTTATGAAGTCCTGTTTACAGTTTTACATGTATTATGCATAAAAAAAATCAAAATTAAGCATTTCATATATAATTTGATATTTTCTGATGAAAATACATCTGTGTAGTCTATTCATAAGTTTAAACGTTTCATTTTCTACACAAAATGGAATATCAGAAACAATTAAAGCATTCGGTCACACCGTAACCTTCCTCACTGTGTGTTATTATTAGAGTGACCACTACTCAACAGAGTATCAGTAATTGCATCAGCCCACAACATGTGCGCTTCTCTTATTGAATTGTTTGACTTTTTATTGATGTTAAACACGTCAAATATCACTATTTGTAATTGTGATCTTGATTAGCATCATAATCAAATAAAATAACATAATTGTGTTATGACATCTTCACTTTATGCGACAATCGAACTTGAAAAGCGTTCGAGGCTATAACTGTACTTCCGGACACGCAAATATTGCTGCGCGAGTGAGCAGGTGGGTGTCATCGCACACAGAGGTCCACCGATATACTTGCGCAGGGGCGGATCCAGAGATATTTTCTGACAGTCTTCCAAATTATTTTTGTTAATCCATCCTCCGTTTTTGACCGTCTTCCGACAGAAAATATTAGATACCCGTCAATGTAAACTTTAAAATCTGACCGTCTTCCGGAAGACCCAGAAGACGGCTTAAATCCGCCCCTGCTTGCGTGCAGTCGCACTTTGTGATGCTTTCGAGTTCATACACAGAATCCTCAACAGTTGCTTTTTTATCATAAGGATTTTCATATATAACATATATCTGGGAACCATGCGCATACAACATCAAATTGAAACCAAACTAAGCGACTATCTTCGCCAAGCACGGATCCTTGTGGCACGCCATAAAGTAGTTTTGCCCGATTTGGAAACATAAGAACCTTACATGTATACTTGTTGCTCGCGTCCAGTTAAGTAAGACTGAAACCAGGAGAGAACTGTTATCCCAAAACGGTTAGCAAATTGATGGAGCAATATGTCAAGATCAAGAGTATCAAAGCTGCTGGCTGATAAATCAAGGAGTGTTAACAGGCCTACAACGTGTTTTGACCATTCAAGGCTCGGAGAAAATCTGCACCTTTAAAAGTGCTGTCCACGACAGTTCAAATCGTCTCGTCTAAGGTTTCATCGTGCGAAACATGGGGCAAGTGTAATCTAGGCTTTAGTCTTTATATTTCTGTACCTCCACAATACTTCAATTTCGTTATAATCGTCATCATTGAGTAGTTCTACATCAAGGGCATCAAAAACTGCTTCTATTGGAGTCACAACGTATATTTCAGTGTTGGTGAGTCTACCGACAAGCATTCCGACAATATCTATGTGGTCATCGCCTACTGAACCAACGCTGTTATCTCTCATTGAGCCAACTCGGTCATCCCTTGGGAAATTCACCGAGAAAACAATGGAGCCAGAGTCTCCTCCATCAGCAAACACGCGACTGGGACCCGCACCAGTAGTTACTCGTTCGACCTCTAACAGATTATTGAGTGCAACGGATGTCATATTTCCCAGGTAGCCGCAAAGTCTAGGCGTTCTAACGAGCAGGTTCTGATCATGAGGGAAAGCTACAGAACCAAAAAATCTGATTTTGCCTTGGGTGAGGTTTGTTGTACAGCCATTTTTGTAAACCATTACATCTTCACTTTCAATGGCTCCTGGTCTTCCAAACAGTTTTTCCAAGGGGAGAACACGTGCATTTCTGAAACTTAGCTGTTGGTGTAGTCTATATCCCGGTAATTCATTTGCAGCGTCTTTGAAATCAGCGGTGGGAGCTCTAATCGTAAAAACTGGAGCAAACAAGGCGTCCACACCTACGTCAGGAACTACAGAAACCAGTTGATCATCACTGAAAGTCTCAAGTCCTTGGCCAGTAGGTACTACGGGGCCCTGCAAAGTGACTGGAACTTGAATGTTCTTTAAAAAATTTAGCTTGTGGGTGGGGTGGTTTCCGTAAAAAATCTTATCGAATACATATGCACATAGTCTACTTTCACTCTGTGCATTTGCTCTATCAATGCACGATGCCTGATGGATAAGGGTAGTTTTTTCGTTGCCCCGTGCATCACCGGCGTTACTGCTTGCAATGCTGGAACCTATATCTGAACTCTGCCGTTCTCGTAAACCAAGTTTTAAAATCTCTTTCTTTTCTGGGGGTTCTCTTACATCACTTGGTGCACTTACTTCTTTGTCACCTGTAACAACATGATATGCTGTTATCAGTCCAACCTCATTGGTTTGGCGACATTTTACAAACATACCTATTGTCCCAAGATGATTGTTTTTCTCATCAAACTTACTAACACTACAGCCGGTCTTCAATCGCTTCTCGAAACGTTCATTCACTAAGAATTCGAAGACCCCTCGTCGAATGTCCACGGGGAGGCCTTTATAAGTCTTTGGAAAAAAGTGTTCTTTAATTGGCACTATTCCCTTATACGGGACGTAGATAACAATGCAGTCAGTTTCCTCTAGTCTATTTTCTCTTTCCTTATACACTAATGTATCCGCCGTGATATAGGTTATGTTGCTGTGCTTGTCCCTGATATCCTTATAGAAGTTTTGCACTAAGGGATGCATTTTTTTCATCCAAACAGCTGATTTTTGTCTTCTCGGACTATATTCTGGGTCTGCGGTGACATGGATTCCGCTCGGAGAGAAATACTCCAAAAGCATGAGCTTAGCATGCGGAAATTCTTTTTCAAACCCCGAATTTTGCCATACATCTCGTATTCGTGTACAATACTTCTCCATTTTTGTGCGAACGTATACGATTACATATACGTGTTGGGCCGAAATTTGTTCTTCTTCTTGTTGGGTTGCTTCTCGTTTTGCTGCACAGGCTTGAATGAAGTTCCAGTCGTTCAAGGCATTAAGGTCGTCACCCAGTTTGAAGGCCTTTGTCTCCAGTCTTTCTATTTGGGAAATACACAATGATATTGCGACTTTAAGAGTTGGCAACAATAAAGATAAAATGGCACACGTTGATTTTTCAAGAAATTAGTTAAAAGTATTGTAAAAGACGTACTGTTTAATTTCAGGATGAGGAGATCTAATGCGCCACGATTCAACAAACAGTTTCTTGATATCCATATAACGCTCATTGGCTGGATAAGATTTGTCGCAAGAAATCACTTACCGACTTCATCCTCGGTTAGTGTTGTTAGAATATAATCCGTCGGGTCACAGCTTTCAGAGGAGTTGATTCCTTTATCTCTGGTGTTATCTGTGCGTACAACAAGAAAGTCTGGTAGAAAAAATATTGCCTGAACAGACTTAATTTGTAACTCGCATTTAAGATGTGTCCTGCTGTTTCAGGATATTAAGAAAAGGTTTATATATCAAAGACAGTCGTCATTTGTTAAGGGCAAATCAAGTTTTTAAAATTAATATTTTATCTAATTTTTTTTCTGCAGTATATGGTTTTCATTGATATGGCAATTACACTCATGGTGGTAACCAAATAACAATATCATGTTGCAAATATATTTCTTGTTTTATTAAAGTGATTTTCAAGTAAAAAGGAACTGTAAATTTGAAAAGCAAATAACAACATCTTCTATGTCTCATGCCTCAATTTCAGATTATAATCATGAAATAATTTCATAAGTCCAACATCTTGTCCATCTTGTTGGATAACAAACCCCAAAATACGTGACATCAATAAATTTTACATCGCGTATTGTTTTAAGTATGTTTACATAGTGTATTGATAATTACCTGTTAATAAACCTTTAGCTGATGCACGGCCATGGGAAGGTACAAAAGTTAATTGAGCACCACCACTCACTATGAATTAAATAGTGAAAAACAGATAAATGACACGGTTTTGTGTGCCGACTAAATCAAACAGCTTTTCCACGGTAATACTTTAGCCTTCTAAAAAAAGTGTATTCTACTGTTTAAGAATATTCAGCAAAATGTCTCTTTATCAAAGAAAGTGATCATTTAGAAAAGACAAAGGGTTGTTAATATAAAATTTTATCTAAAATGTTTTGTGTTGTTTTCGTTAGTGTTATTATGGCAAGTGAAATTACGGTGAAAACCAAATAACAAAATTATCCTGCAAATATACATGTATTTCTTTGTTAAAGTATTATACTCTATGCCTCATTATCAGATTACACCTTGATACAAATTTATAATCATGAAATAATATTGTATGCCAAAATTTGTGTATTAGGTAATAAACCACAAAATATTTGAATTTTATGTATTGTATATCAAGTAATGGTTTAAGTAGGTCTGCGTTTATGTTTGCATAGTGTATTGATATTTACCCCCAAATGTAGGCGATGAACGGTCATAGGGAGCTTTTGACGTTTCTTGAACAGGGATGCGCTCTGTGAAATAAGCAGACAGTGAGAAAAAAGATAAATTAGCATACGGTTTTGTGTACCGACTAAACCAAACGGCCTTCTGCGGTACTAACATGGTCCTCTAAAAGTCTGTAAAATCGGGAAAGGTTGATAAAGGTTTTTTTTTTTTAATTTCCCAAGATTTCGACTGTCTCGCCTAGTGATATATCTACAGAAATGGATCTACAGAAATATAAGCGTTTTACTTTTTTGAGAGCTCGCAGAACACAAGAAATTCATTCAGCAATTGTTATTTACATTTTCTGACTAGAATATGCCATTTGACCCATATCCATTTACGGTTATACTTTTATCAAAATAAAATACATTCACGCAGATCAACACATTACTTGGTATTTACCTTGAGAAACATGTTTCGGAGATGTGGAAATATCACCTTCTAAAGGCTGGCGATGCACATCCACTAAAACAGAATCATTCACAAATTAAACACTATATTGACATTTTATGAGAAATGTTACCTTAGCAAGCTCATATTAAGCAAAATGTTACATTATTACAATTGTATGATTGGAATTCATCTACAGAAAACAGTGATTTTTAACCAGTTCGTTAAAACTGATGTTGACAATTTATTATTATTTAGGTAAGATTTTATTATTAAACTGCTTGCCCTATTTTCTGTAACTCGTATTTATCCACAAAATATCATATGCGTGCTTAAAGCAACAGGCTTGCCTAAGAAATCAACTCACCGTAGTCGTCTTTGTGTTCTTCAGCTATCTCACTAATTCCAAGGGAGACGGTTTCTGGTATGCTGAATTCTGATTTATCCAAATTAACTGTAATTAGATGACAATTTTTATAAAGACAATTATACAAATGCGCTACACGTGATTTTATATAGCTGAAACTCGCGGAGTTTATTTTGATAAAGAACAGTGTCATCCTTCTTTGCAGTGGGTGGAAATTATTGGTACATATCTCATATAGTATAATACACCGCATTATCAAATATATGTACAACTTACATCAAAACATATTTAACAATTTATTGTAACCAGTAATTTTGTTTTAGCGGTTTTGTCGCACTTACCCGACTTTCGACTTGAAATAGACTTTACATAGGTTTCATCTATAAAATATCAAACAGAAGTCAAAATATAAAATGTAAAGTCCCTGAAACCAATTCCTCTTCTTATAATAATAATAATAATAATAATAATAATAATAATAATAATAATAATATTTTATTCAAGTAATATATATCAAACATTTTTATATTCATCAAAAAATGACCTCTGTTCGAGCTCTTAAAAGTGATATAAGAGTGAAATAACAATATAAAGTTTGAGATGTAAAAATAAAACAATTAATAAAATAGTGTATTAAAAAGATAAATAGAATTTAAGTTAAGAGTTAAATTCGAGAAACAGCTAAAGGGTAGGCATGTGTGTGGGAGGAGTGTGCAGTGAGGAAAAGCGAAGCGGTACAGATAGCCCTCTATATAAATGAAAGAATAAATGAATAGGAAACAATTGTCATCAAATATGACCCTTTTCTACACTTTATAAGTGTCAGACACTCTAGCCCACCCATAAAATGTTCTACGAAACCACTACGTTACACGTGCACTTATGGTCTTGTACATTTTCAATAGTTTGAGCATTTAAACCATGCAAAGTAACGAAATGTTCGAGGCCTTCAACCAATACATGTAAATATTTACCGGTATCTTTTGGACTTGTGACTTCCAATTCTTCGTGTTTTATGAAATCGATTGATGGTAATATTTCTTCTGGCAAAATTGTTGATTTAATGGAGTCGCTGCAAAAAAAAAAAAAAAAAAAAAAAAAAAGTTAAATGCACGAGTCCACAAAAGGAAGCAACAAAAATGCATTTAATGTCGCTTTTTGTCACATTACTTAAAAGGTTTGTAACATCAGTGACTTATTTTAAAGCAAAACAGCTGAATTAGCTTGCAATGCTTAAATGGGAGAAACTAAACCACGCTCTTCTGAAAAACTGATATTTAAATCGTATTATTGTGAAATTCATAACCAAATGTAGAAACAAAATTTCCTTTAAAGTTCAAACCTGTCTATATCGGCGCGGTGCGTTTGTGCCTCGCCTAAAATTAAGATAAAGTGAAAGGTTATTAAAAGATCAATATAAAAAATAACCGCATCTTGCAAGACATAAAGAACAAAATATTAATGATTGATAATAATGAAAGATGTAGATAAAATCTTAATTTTATTTTAATTTGTAATGGATTTTTTATCTTATATAACGTTATAATGTAAAATGACAAGAGGTGTTTAAACAATTTAAAATTGAAATTGAGAAAACAAATTTTTTTCATTAAAGACAAAGGAAGAAAAAAAAGGCGATCTCTCTCTCTCTCTCTCTCTCCAACATACATACATACATACATACATACATACATGTACGCCAACAGCTACTTGGCATCACCCTAGAGCACCACCCTTTCGATTTCTGACCCCAATGGTCCCCTCTTGAAATAAGAATTTTGACTAGCTGAATCATAGTTCTAAACCGTACCAAATGACACTGTTCGCCTTCTAAAATTCTAATTTTTCGGGTCCCTTCAGCGAGCCCCCGAACCCCATGCCGGGGGGGGGGGGGGGGGGGCGGGTAGGCTTCGCATCCGCGGCATGCCATAGCTAAAAACCGGACACCCCCTTCAAATAACCCTGGATCCGCCCCTGCTACTTTCCCTCTAGGTGACTACTCTATTCTAATGGCCAGCAGAGTGGTGACACTAATTCTATACGAAAAAATCTCAAAAACCCATGGTCACAAAAGAAAGGTGCACAGAATTCGCCCGAAGCACGTCTTTGAAAAATAAAAATCTGTGACCCTTGAAGGGGGTATTACCCAGTGACCAATTTGTCCAGTTCATGCTGAACACTAGTTTGTATATGAATACTGCATCTAAAATCATCAAATCTTACATCAGTAACAAAGTGGTCTGAGATCGTCTTTATTAAGAATGCATTTGTCATAAAAATTACACCAGCGACCGACAGCCTTCTTACTTGCGACTTACCCACCTAATACAAAACTTTTTATTTGTATATGTTTCTGCTATTTTAGTTTTAAATGTTTAAAAAGTTAAAAAAAGGAAGATTTAGGGAAGGAAAACTTGGGTAACTGCCATCATTTGTCATCTGCTGTCCTCTTTCATATTTATTAATTCATTTATTTATTTATTTTGTTTTTTTTTTTTAATATTTCAGCATTGTAACTGGTTCAATTAATTAAAGGTGACTGAGAGGAAGCACAGTGCTAGTTTTGTTAAGAGATATAATCAAAACTAGAGCTGGGAACAAAGAAAAAATTTTATTTAAAAAAAGCATGTATTACTTCATTGGGCTATTTTATGTTCTAAAAAGTACCTTTTAGTAAAGTACCTGGTGCCTTGATTAGTAAAGAATAGTAATGCAGCTCTCCAGCAATGTGTAATTTTATGTTTATTGATATACCGAAAAGTTTCTGTGTTGTAACTACCAAAATATTTTATGCATACAAATGTTGCAAAATATGCAAGTATGGTAAAAGATACACAAACACTCATCATTTTCCAGTGAAATCTCATATTAGCCTACCTTGACGTGATGAGAAATCCAAATTAGCAGCAGCAGCAGTAGCAGCAAATGACTCTTTGAATTCCGAAAGCGCGGCTTTCTCACTCTGTCAATATATTAATTTTATTTAACACTGAAATAGACCTCTGCTATCATACAAGAATTTGATTAAAAAAAAATGTGAAAAAAATGTTGTGATAAAGATGTCCAATTTTAGGCAAAACTGATTTTCACATATTTAAAAATTATCATTTACTGGTGAACATAAAAACGATGTAATAGTTTTAAAAACAATAGCTGACCTCCTTCGGACCATATTTTACTGTAGTTGAGTAAAACTAAATTAAACATCACGAAAAAACTCGACTGGTTGTTGTTGCACTATGCTACTTTACTTATGCTTTCTTTATTCACGCTTTAAACTTTATTTGGAATATGATTGCCATACATGTTCATGTCGTCTGCTGGTAAGGGGATCTTTTTCCGTCGGTTCGTCATGGTCGTCTAAAATTAAGAATGGATTAGTTTCTTACTCTTAGACCCCATTCCCATAGATTTTAGATCGATCTATCCCTGTGGGGAGTCTCATTAGATTACTGTCAGCTTAGCCGGCTTTTAAAGCGTCTGTCCCGCCTACTGAAAGCAGTAAGGGGGTAATTAACTATTGTGCGCGCTCGACTGACTGCAATTTAGTGTGAACCCCAGGGAGTTAGGTCGATCTATATCTCTGGGAATGCACCCTTACATGCTAATGCCCATGATGAATATAATTTTGACTTTTTAAGTGAGCATCAATCTGCAAACAAAACCAAACATTATCGGGAGTAATAGATTATTCAAATAATTCTAAACAACGAAGGTATTTTACAAAGGGCAGTACAAATTAATTCCAAAATTTAACAGAGACGGAAGGACGACAATACAAAAAAAAAAAAAAAAGAGATATATTTACAGCAAAAACTGGATGTGAGGGAGAGGGGGTAGAGAAGGTTGGTGACAAAAACAGTGGAAAGAGTTAACCTCCGACAAAAAAACCGGAATTACAGCTTAGTTTGGCTAATTTCCAAATGCTGTTTCAATCTAACCTACAATCATTAAGCAAACAGAATGATTATTCAGCGACTTTATTAGCTTGGCCCACCCGTTCAGCATGTTGTAATGGCATCACCCGTAGGTGGAGGGGAGGGATGCTTTCGAAAGAACCAACCTTTCAGCCAGATAAAATCTGTTCTGAATCAAAATTTTGTCAATATCTGTTTTCAAGTAGGGTCAACTACATGTAATAAGTAGAAAGAGTAGAAGAAAAGACTGCCTCTCTGAAATTACTGATAACAGGCTTGAAATGTCTTCAAATATTCTATATTGCCATTTTTTAATTTGAAGGGTGTCCATAAAGCTAAAACAGTCATATTTAGCACGAAGATTAACAAGGTTCGTGATTGAAAGAGGACGAACCTGGCCCAAATTCCTGTGGTTTTCTGTTGCTTATCTCCGCAGATGAAGGACGACTCAACCATTTCCCCATCTAGCGATGTGAAGGTGTGTCTCAGGGCCAGCTTAGATTCAATAGTGTTTGAAGAAACTGAAGTGATTGTCACAAAAACGAAAAATAAATAAATAAATAAAGAAAGAAATAAACGAAAACAAAATGGCTAGATTGACCAGCATAAATAAGCCTTTTGCCTTCACTGCAATGATACATGTTGAGACATAAAAATGATAGGTTTTTCTTAGCAAGACTAAAGTTACAAGAATAGCTGGCTTCAAAGGCACTGTCTTTACAGTAATTTCAGAATAATAACTATATGTACGGTCATATACATTTTATAATGACCCGCATTGTCTCTATTGCAGCAGATAAAGTGAGCTGTGTACAACTGAATTCAGGAAGTCCTGGTTGAAGAACCTTATTTGTGGTTCAGTGAGACCTCTACCATCAGAGGCTCTGTGCCATTGGTACACAAGTCGAATGGTCTGCTGCAATAGAGACAGCTGGGTTCCTTGGCATACAATGTACGCGACCAGTTTTAATTATAAGAATATTGGTGTAAACTTGTGGGCCTAGGCTACATAATATACACTGAGAGTGAGATAACATGATTGTCTCTGGTGGCTTTCAATAAATTATAGTGAATATATCATTCATTGGTAATCCTAAAATTTTCATTTCTGTTATTTGTAGCCAAGTCAGAGGCATCGGTGGCTTCACTAGAGAAATAGTGGTGGCACTTGTCTGCGATCGTGAGGCAAAATTGCAGAGGTAATTCGTCCTCCACAAAACCCTAGGTCTTTCAAAACTGTAGATGTTGAGGCTTTGTTTGCTATGTTGCGAGGTCTCTTGAAAACATTTGACGCAAAACAGTTCGTTGAGCAATATCCGTAAATATTAATTCCTAAATCAGTTTTTGCACAATGAATATAATCTTCACTTCAACTTATGTGAAAAAAGATGTAAAAATTAACTCCTGCCTTGCAGCAGTCCAGTTGACCTGTAAATACTTTTTTGGTTAATGATTAATTTCTAGGCGCAAGTATTTCTGATAAGAGGAAGTGTTACCAAGAAATTTGATACGCTCTAATACACAATGGCGGCACGAAAAAGTCAAAATGGCTTATCATTCAACAGGCTATATGTATTTATAAAGCGGATTTACCTTCTTTCCAGAGAAATGTAACAGCAATAGCACTATGTACCAATTACTTAAACTTCACGTGAACATTTTCCACGACGCATCAGAGGGCAGGTTATCCAGATCTTCGTTATATTATGTTGTATCCTTCTTTCATTTTCGAATTTTGTACTGTCACCTGTTGTACGTGTAGCTCAGTAGAAAAGTACGACTTGCACATATCCTTCTGCAGCACTTAAAACGTCTTGTAAATACAATGATACTCCTAAGGCGTTGACGTGGCTGTACGTGCTGTGTTAAGTCCTTCCACGTCCCTACATAAGGATGTCGCCTGTAACTGTCTTATACCTTAACTGAACTACCGTAACTTTACCGCTGACCTTGTTGACTGAGGCAGAGGTCGCCCACTTGTTCTATTTGTTTTAGGTCCAGTGGGACGAATCGCGTACAGTCTATGGGAGTCACTTCAATACGATACAATGCAATGCAGCAGATTTTTTTAAAAGTTGGGTACAATTGATCTTTATACAATAGCCTAGCAGCTGTTCGCCGAGACAGAAAATAAGATAACTACAGGTATTATATTAATACCAAAGGTAATGTTAATAAAAAATAAAAATGTTAATAAAAACCTATCAGTATTATGTTATAAAAACGACCTCAGATATGTGGCCCAAAATTCCTGTGTCAATACAAATGTAAGCCCCCTTTACACTTTACCCCCTTTACATGACCAGTTTCATGATCGCACAAAGGACACTGAAGTTTTAAGTGCTATCAACGAAATGCATGAAACGAAACCCAAAACGTTGGACTCTCTTCAACTTTGCCGAAAAGGAGGGCCAGTGCAACAAAGATTCATACAGGTTCGGATAAGCGTGACGTAAATGGGTCAAAATCTAGGACGGGGTTTACCTGTGCAAATATTTCGTTTCATTTCATTTATTTATTACCTTGGTCTCTTGAGTACCATCAGTCTAGTACTGGTACAAATGTTACAACGACTATAGTTACAACAACTATAGGGTTATTACAAAGAATAATTATAATAGTAATAATCGCAATCATAATCATCATAACCATAATAATAGTATTAAGTACATGAGTACTTAAATAAATAAACTACTTAAATAAATCAAATTAAATCAAATAATGTTGGGACCAGGACCCTATGCCACACGGGACTCGCTCGTACCCGACGCCGGCGTGACAGGAATGATAGTTAAGCCTGGTTCCCAACCCAACGTACGGACTACTACGTGTAGTCTACGGCCAAAAATATGGGGAAAACGTGGGATCTCGTTCGTGAGGAGCACGGCCATCGTGCACCTTTTGGAGGGCGCAGACAGCATGTAGAAAAATTTCGACATGATCACAGCTGCTGCGTTCGGTCTGTGAAATCTAAAAAAATGGAAAAAAGGAGCTTGCCGTGCGCCTGTCGTACGGGACACGTGAGGAAAACCCCCTTTTCCCCACTGCGCTTGGGTGGCTACGGTGCGTGCGATGCACGTGGATAAGCCGCACGATACACGTACTTATTTCTTGCTCACTCCGTGCTCATTCCGTACTTCCAGGCGCCCACCGTGTTGACCTCACCGGCCTCGTGCATGTTGAGTGCGTAGTGGTCACTTCATGCGCACGGACCATGAAATTAAAAGGAGGAGCATGCACGAAGAAGCATCATTTCAGCCTTGGATTTTAAGTTTGAAAAATGCCTAAAAAGACAACAAAGAGCAGGAGGGGGAGAGGGGGACCGGACATAAGCCAGGCAAGCAGAAAGGCATCAATTGGAACGCTGCTACGGGTATAAGATCTCCTCAAAGATGGACTGTTCTTTTCCCTTCCCAAAAAACATCTCAACACGCAAGACTCGCGCGCAAAGGACAAGCAACAACCGTGCGAAGTCAGCAAGACTGTCCTACGTCCTGTAGAGTTGCCCTTGCGTTGCCCGAAATCTTAGCACGGATAACGTACGTAGTGCACGATGCTTGTACTTTGCATGCACGGGGGACGCGGGACACGTGCGAAACGCGCCAGGCGCAACAGATATTTCTCACGTGCGGAGGCTGTGCTTCTCACGTACTTTCCACGCACTTTCTTCTTGCACACTCCTTGCAATCACCAATTGCTTGAAACCTTCCCTGCGATCTAGCAGCTACTCAGCCAGACGAGAGGAACCTAAAAAAAACGTAAGTCCTAAAAATCGTGCGTGGACTTGGGACCCAGGCTCTAGGAGCCGTAGTCCGTTCCCCGTTATTTTGTACAGGTGACACTCGTCCCATTTACTAGCCACAATACTACGACTAACTCCAACCTGTACTAATCAAATTGGACCCCGAACTTCAATTCATAATATAAGCATCTTAAATTAGCACATCGTTTGAATGAATACATCACTGCTACAGTAAGCAGTGCCCCAGTCACGTCCAG